GCCTCACAGCTTCTTGATATCCTGGCATCTTATTCTCTGCGGCTTGACTGACCCTGACTTATTAACTGCAGTATTGCGTATTGCTAACAACACGTATTGTTACAGACATTTTATTCATCATTATTAAGTAGATTCAACTAATTGCTCCGATTCCAATTAAGGTACTCACCACCATTGCTAGCTGTGGAGGGCGCCCGTAGGGCGTCCGGAGCAGCTAGTCAATTAAGATAACCAGGACGAAAAAATAAATCAGGTAATAACCAAACCATTACAACTATATAATTGCGATTTCTCAAAGTAGCATTTTCAACGGAAAAATCTCAATACATTGTTATCAGGTTCCGATTTTTGACGATTTACGGGCGATGAAATCGCTAGAATCATCGTCATCTGAGCGAGTGTCTATCTGAACGCATGCCAGAAATCATGTCAAAATGATATACTTCCTTCTGATTTGAACGCGTCCAGTTTGAAGTGCCATCGGAACCGCTCGGGAACATAACTTACGCTGTTTACCTGGGGTTTAAAAACCGTTTTCTTCAAGTCTACGACGAGCTTCATAAAGCAGTGTAAACATTCACGTTACATCCTCTACAGAGAGCTTATTTTGAAGCACAGTAAACTTGTGTAGTGGAATGTAACATTTAAAGCTGGAGAGTAATTTATACTGACTGCATTTGTTCCGGGAAGTATATTTCAACCCGTGCAAGCGGCATAGCTTGAATTTACGGCTCAGAAAAGGAAGGATGAGAAAGTTGAGGTTGATGAAATGTTTGAACCTTAATTGCGGTTCTGAAAATTAAATAAACCGCGAGAATATTTGAGTTTCAAAATCGTTTGACTTACTTTTTGACCTGCTCCCCGAGGGATGCGATAAAACCGATGGAGTTTTGCACCGTCTGGGTAACTTCCTGGATTGCCTGAAGTTTCTCTTTCAGACTCTTCTTCTCTTCCTGGCGGTAGAAGATAAAAGCACGATTAAACAAATAGTTTATCTTTTACGTATAAAAGAAACATTTTAATTTTTTTTTTTTTTTTAGTTGAGGAAGCGTTTCTGCGGAAGCTGTTAAGAAATTATTTTAATTTCTATTCATGTTAAAACATTTGATCCCTCACTTGCGACGCAGTTAAATTACGTTATTTAATTACGCGTCCCGAGTGAAATAACAAATTGTTCAAAATTGTAATTTAAAATACAATGGTTCTAAGTCCTCAAAATCAAGATGAAAGAAGAGTGCTTTCAAATTTGTTAGTTTTTTTTTTTTTGATCAACTGAGATTTACGTCAATCATGATGGAAATTTTCAAACTTTTGGGAGCGTTTTGTTTTCTCAAAAAACAATTCTGACACAGTGCTTAATCTAAAATGATTTAAATTCTACTGAATTCACGATCCCGACTATATCTTTATACATATAGTAAACTGTTTAAAAAAACTGTGTAGTTTTACGGTCTTTCACTAATTGAGTACCTATCCTAAATCGCTGCCATGCATTTGTCCCCGAAGTTTTCTCCGCAACTGTGTGGCAGTAACACGATTGTGAATGAATCGCATTCGCTGCAAAACACTACTGAATATTATACAGCATTTCAAACCAAGGGAGGACGTCTCAAGTACTGAACGCGTTTGGATAGATACAGAAAAATCGAAGAACAGCAGTTACGACATGTTTCTTAAATAAAAATTCTTCGTGGGGACGGACAAAAAGAGAAACAGATAGCTGTTTCGTTTTCTTTAGGACCACGGCGCGACGTTAACGCAAGGTCTGGATACAATTATACGTGCTCGGGGAATGTGCGCGTTGCGTGCGAAAAAAATGAAGGCGCTTCAGTTTTTCCTGTCTCCAACACGCAAAACGTGCGTAATGGTGCCTTACGTTGGTGTTGAACGTGTCATTGGTACTGAACGCGCTTGGATAGATACAGAAAAATCAAAGAGTAGCAGTTACGACATGTTTCCATAATAAAAATTATTCGTAGGGACGGACAAAAAGAGAAACAGATAGCTGTTTCGTTTTCTTTTAGACCACGGCGCGACGGTAACGCAAGGTCTAGATACAATTATTCGTGCTCGGGAAATGTGCGTGTTGCGAGCAAAAAAAATGAAGGCGTTTCATTTTTTCCTGTCTCCAACACGCAGACCGTGCGTAATGGTGCCTGTCAAAGGCTACAAAAAGCAATGACGTACCCTGTCCTTGTCTTCGTCGTCATCATCATCATCACCGGTGGGCTCGTCGTCATCCTCATTGGCGGACCAATTCCCCATCAAAGTTTGCACCTGCGAATAAACCCGACTTACGTTAAAAAGGACACTCTTTCTGAGTGAATTCCGGTGAAATCTCGCAAGTCAAATTGTCAACAGTAGGCCTTGTCTCCACGGGACGTTTTCATAGGATTTGTCCCAAGTTCGAATTGCAGGAATGAAACTTCTGGGATTTTTCCCAGTTACCGTCTCCACGGGACGGGGCTCACTCAGTCCTGCGACTAGTTTGCGCGGGAAGATAAATTACTTAAAGTCGAGTATTTAACCAGTATTATAATAATAAATGCACTCAATTGACAATTAGACACATTATTTTAACTAAATAACATTAACAATGTAGTGATGAATAAAATATCGCACAATTCGTTTTCACTTCTTCTTCTTCTCTCAGTGGGTCCTAGGCGTACAAGTACCATACATGGTACTGGGAAAAATATTGATTAACTCAATATTTTTCCCAACTTCATAAGTGGGATTTTTCCCTGGGACAAATCTCGTGAAACGGCTCGTGGAGACAAGGCCGTAGACCAGGAGAAATTGCAACTAAGGCGGCTTTCCGTCTTATCCGCTTCACTGCTTAGCACGATATGACCTCGAAATTTCGGGCTAATTGTAAGCTATGTGAAGTAACTTATGAGCATTGTGTCTCGAGTCGCTGACAGAGGCGGATCCAGAAATTTGGCAACACTGAATTTCCTCCATTTAAACCTATGCTAAATAATCGATTCTTGACGGAGCACCTGGCCCCTCCAAGAATCGATATATTTCCGTAGGTTTAAATAATGGAGGAAATCCAGTATTGACAAACTACTGGATCCGCCAATGGTCGCTGACCATGATTTTTCCCTGATTTTTAAGAGCTCTTTGTCGGATCAAAAATCAAGTTTTCCCCACTTTTCTAGGCTCTTCTTGCGAAAAGCTCATACTTTTCCGGAATTCCAGACGAGAAAATCGGACTCTTTTCATCTTTCCACCGATTCTTCTACGCACACTAGAATATTACATTCCAAATGCTTTCCGATGTTACATTATCCGACCAATAAAAGCTTCTCTATTATTCTGACGATTAGAAGATTTAAGAGGTCAAGTCAGTGTTGGCGGCCCACGTGCAATGAAATAAACCTTAAAATGGTCTGAAAACGGAAAAACAAGAGAACCCGGTTCTTGGAACAGTCCTTGCTTATACCCGGATTTTCCATTCCCTCAAGATTCCCGAATTTCAAACGCTTTTAATTTCCTAAGGAATTTCGATTTTCCGGGGTAATATCCCGGTCCTGCACACTAGGTGCAAGTAGTTACTTAGCAACTTTTCCAATTTGCACTTTTCCGGGAAAATTAAATTTCCGTGTTTTACTTAGCATCGCTTCGCTATAATCACGAGCGCTCCATCATTCTTTCTCGAATCAATTTAACAAAAATCACTCTGTAAAAATAGAGCGATCTACGGCTGAACGGGTTAAGTTGAATGATTTCCGATAGGTTTCACTCTTAACGCGACATTCGCAAAGGTTCCTTCCCCCGTGGGTGCGGTCAAAATTATGATGGTCATGGATAGTGTTTTGATTCACTGGGGGGGGGAGGGGGGAAGAAACACATTGGATCTTGAGTCCGGACTCTTAAAAACATCGAAAAGAAAAAGTACTCTTGATTCAATCAGAATCTAGCTTAAATCAAGAACCAAGCCTCTTAATTTAAGCGGATTTCGTTTTGATTCAAGCAAAATCCGATTGAATCAAGAGTATTTTTTCTTGTCAAAGTTTTCAAGAGTCTGGACTCTAGATCCAATGTGTTTTTTTTCCCAGAGTTCATAAACGTTTTTTCTATTCTACTAAATTCCAGCCAGGATACCGCGCCATGCAACAGGTGGCCTTGGACCTCCGAACACTTGAGCTTCGTGCAAGATCCCTTCACCCTCAAAGGAAATTACAAAGGCTGTCAAAGGAGCCCGGAGGAAGATGAATACAGGCACTTACAACGTAGCACTTGAGGAAAACGAGGATCATCGCTAGCGGAGCCATGTAGGGTTCAAAGTAGTAGCACAGTAAAATGAACACAGTGAGAGCTATTATACTTTGTATCGTTGACTCCCACTCCAGCCATCGCCTGTGAAAAAGAAACATCAAGGATTCGTTATTCATGACGTCGTTAGTGGAATGAAGTTCTGCTTCGTTCGTAATATCGTTAGGAATCCAAGACACTTCGAAGTCTTCCGCTTGATTAAGAATCGACGACTTTCGTTTGGACCACCTTTAGCAGAAAGGAACCAAGCCACATCAGCTATTGCCAAATTCAACTGGGCAATTTAATGTTGTATAAGAGAACGTTTGTGCGGATTCCTTTGAAAATTTTAAGGAACTTGCTTCGTACAATGCAGAAAATTCCCTCTTATTTGCACAAAAATCTGCACAACTGTTTTTTACGAAAAATTGTAATTGCTCAAGAAAACTTGGTAATAGCTTATGTGACTCGCTTCATTTGTGGTTAACGCGATTCATTTTTCAACCATAGAGAGTACTTTTATTACATTCTCGACACGACAAGTATACCGTCTGTGTGCCGTATTTTGCGTTAGCAAAAGGTCCTGCGGGGTGATTGCTGGAATTTAAAGACAAAGCCATCGACAGAGAACTCTCAGAGAAGACAGAGAAGTGGTATACATATCATCTGAAGATGGCCCTATGGGCTGACATGCATTTGGATAAATAAAAAATGTAATTTGAGCATCTACTTGGCGTACCCTACCCTCTCCGAATCAATGAACAAATGATTAGTCCATCATTACCTCCCTTTGTTTTATAATAACCACCCATTTCAACCAATATGATCTCTCCATTCTCACTATGTCTTCTTTGTCTTTCTCCTTGTCTAACAATTTCAACCAGTGGCGTGGCGTGAATTGCGATATATAGATTGTTATGCCGTTTAAATCTATATGGTAAAGAATCGATTATTAAGATGTTCGCTGCGAACACCCTGTTTATCGATGCTGAAAGCCGAAGGATATGTTATTAATTAAAATGTTTTAACCACAACACCGTATACATGGTTATTCAAAAGTTCCGCACCCCTGGCCATGAGGGGGGTGGCCATCTGAAATTTTTAGTTGCCATTCCCTTCCCTCCCTCTGAGAGGGTCAAAAAATAGAAAATACCTAAAAAAAATTCTCCTCGATAAGAAGGAAAACGTCACAAGACGCGAGTCGATATCTTAATTAGAACTAAAGTTCTTGCCAGCGGTGCGTGACTTTTGAATAGCCCTGTATGTATGACGCTCTTTTAATTCTGACACTATCCGTGATGTAAAAAATTGCTAAAATCTTTAAAATATGATTATGTCTATGTTACAAGATTTATAGAAGCTATGATGATGCCGTAAGCGGAAAGATTTCTAAGTAATTAAAATTTTTAACCACGCCACCTTGGTTCGTCAAACACTGGAAAAAAAACACATTGGATCTAGAGTCCAGGCTCTTAAAAACATCGACAAGAAAAAATACGCTTGATTCAATCAGATTTAAGCTTAACTCAAGAACCAAGCCTCTTAATTTGAGCGGATTTCCTTTAGATTTAAGCTAGATTCTGACAGAATCACGAGTCCTTTTTCTTGTCAATGTTTTCAAGAGTCTGGACTCTAGATCCAATGTGTTTTTTTTTCAGTGAATTCCAACTTCATTAGAAAACGATGTTGTCCAAATAGGTCTCTATGAACGAATGAACTGTACGAAAACAGTTGCCTGGCGCGACTACCGAGGTAGATTCAGGAACACCTACATTTCCCTGTAACTTGGTAAGAGGGGGAGCGAGAGGTGTGGATGGCTTCTGAGGAAGTTCAACTCGGTGAGAGTGTTATTAAAGTTCCAGAGCGGACGGTTAAAGCTCCCCCCGCGGGGATTCACCTCGTGACGTGCTGACGTCACTGCTCCGGAGCTCTGCGCCAAAAGTTGCGGAGAAGTCGGCGCTTCTGTACCGTTTGGCGAGACTCATTCACCCTCGTGGGTAACTAAAGAGATCCAATTGCACTTTGATCTGGATTGCACTCGAATCTATTCGCACGAAAGTAGGCGGAGCAGATTTCTGCCATCCAGAAAAAAAATATTACTTCATCATTCTATCACTCTGGTGGGTATCTAAGGAGTTTCAATTACATTTTAAACGGGAATGTGCTCGATGCAATTTGCAGGAATGTATAGGCGGAGCAGATTTCTGCCATCCAAAATAAGAACGCCGGATCTCACTTCATCGAACTTTCAATTTCCGTGCCCCTTTCAATCACCTGAAGATGGGCGGCCCGCTCGAAATGGTGATCGTGTAAAAAATAAAAGTAAGTCATCTGTAATCGGTTTTGGAAAAAATTTCAATTTGCATCAAGTCATGGGCCGAAAAGGGTTGCGTCCGTTGGCTCATACTTACGGCCGTAACCCTTTCCGGCGCGGCCTGTGCAAGGAAGTCCCGAAAAACAGGCGTTTTCGGCTCGGGCGAAATTTCATGATGAAAATTAAAATTGTAGGTTTCGGCTCAGGAATGTAGGACAGTTCGGCCTGTAGCCTGAAAATACAAGCAGCTACCCAAAATAAACTAGCGCTGAGGCAAAATGAAGATGTGGATAAAGAGGCCTACGTTTTGCAGCAGTATGAGCGGTATTCTTCTGGCACCATTTCTCAACTGCAATTCTTGCGGAGCATGGGACATCGCTTTGTGCCACTAAAATAAGGTATGTTCATATTTTGTTGTAGCTTTCAACTATCAAGCTCATTTGTGCGAAATGGACCACTAGACAAGGTAAGAATTAAAGGATTCTGATACATGTTCCTAAACCAAAATTTCACGCAGTACACGATTCGCGCAACTAATATTACTGAAACCAACTCCTAACGAAGCTATATTAACATTTTTATTTCACATTGGTTACGAGGAATTTGAACTGCCCGCTCACAGGAAACTCAAAGCTCTACGTAAGTCAAATCACGCACTACAACGGTCTCAGCAATATTCTCAATCGAGCAATGTTCATTTCCCACCATGTGTTTTTCAAACTATAAGTAATTTGATATAGCTGAGCCAAAGTGTCAGGATTGAGGTTGCCAGATTTTTTCATCGCAGAGACGTTCATGATAACGTTTACGAGCGATGTGAATCACGTAGAGCATTGAGTTTTCATGAGCGCGTGCTTTGAATTCACGCACCAAGAATCATTAATATCTTCGGAAGGAGTTGATTTCGGTAATATTCGTTGTGTGCATCGTGTTTTACGTGAAATTTTCGTAAAGAAACGTGTATCAGAATGCTGAAATTCGTACTTTGTCTAGTGGTCCATTGGGCGTGAGCCGAAAGGGGTTACGAGGGTCGCGGCAGACGCGAGCCGAAAAGGGTAATTTGCGCCAAAAAGGGAAACTGCCATACTTACTGGATGACTTTACTAATATCGATGATCCACATGATGATGGCTTTGAGCCTCATGACGTTGCGGACGAAGACCTGTCTCTTGAACTTGACCTCGGGGTTCATGTACTTGTCCTCCTTGGGGTTGAGGGTCCTGATGCAGGCGCGGATGGGGTTCCAGACGATGTCCATCTCAAGGAGGATCTGCGGCGAGTTCCCCTTGGCCCGCCCGTAGAGCTTCTTGTCTTTGAGCGCGTACCATCGCTTCTCCCCGTTCTTGATCCGGATCAGCGGGATCGCCACCTTCCCCAAGAACTCCACCTTGTGATCCTTGTCCTCGTCGTACACGGTCACCTCCAGCACCGAATGAATGTCTTTAACGTTACTGGAAAGTAGACCAGTAAGTATTCATGAATTCATTGTGAATGTATACATGCAATAATTTAAAGGCTCTAAATTTGCATTTATACAGGTGAATGATCACTGATATCAGTGGAATATGTTTGTGCATTATAATTTGCTAGGTTTGTGAAGACAACATCCAGCTGTGATCCATATTGTGTTGATACCGACTGTGACGGTATTGCTGAATGAATTTCATATTTATTAAATAATTCATGATAAATTGTCTTCATGGACGCGCTTCTTGTGAATCAACTAAAAACACAAGATCTGTCAAACAGCAACTCTCTACGTTCAATATTCACCGAGATATCGGCCTTTGAAAAGTCAGGTTTTTGGCATCATCCGCCTGCCGTGATAACGATTCCAATGATTATCTTCATGTCTCATTCGGGGTATCTACTAAAACAGGCTGGTCAAAAATAAGTACTCTTACGGTTCTATTTCAGTACATTCTCAAGAAATTCAGTACCTCCTCCAACAGAAAAATTCCGTACTTTTTCGGTACCTCCATCTGACGAAATTAGAAAAATTTCAAAAATTTGAAATTGCGACGAAAATTACGAACAATTAAAAAAAATTCCGGACCTTTTTGCGGAATTTCCGTACTTTCTCAGTACTTCTGGACTGTCCTTAAAAAATCGGTACTATTTCCGGACTTGTAGACACCCTGTCATTACAAGTTGGTATGATGAAGTAAAGTATAGGAATTCTGTGAAGAAACTCATTCCATAACAAATCCTTCCACCTTGTGTGCGTGGATCAGGCAACTAAGCTTACTTCACTGATGAGCTGGATGCGTAGGGCAAACTGAAGGGGATTATGACTAGAATTAAGTTTTTTACAGTAGATTTGAAGCGTAGAGGCTTTGGAAAATCATGACCTCAATGAGACATTTTATGTAGAAACGACGTATACCCGTAAATGCACTTGTCCATATACACTGAAAAGAAAAAGATTGGTAGAATTTACCATTCCTTCACGCTGTGTATCTTTGTGTTCAGTGTATTCATACATAGTCTTGCCTTGCTGTTAAGCGGCGGCCCATTTATGTGTGACTTTTAACTTTTGTTTTTTTTTCGGCGGTTGAAAAAGGGAATATTAACCCCGAAAAGTCCCGTCCAAATTATTTTTATTTACAGCCTGTACCCCGTGCTTTAGCTTTTTTTCATGTGCTTATACATAAAGATAGTAGATTTGCAAACGCCATGATCTGGCCTTTAAGAATGTATATGGTTTACATGTGTTATTGCACAAGCTATTAATTCATCAAAAAATGGCAATTAGAACTATTTTTAACCTAAGACAAGAAACTTCGTGCCGTGAATACTTTAAATTGAATAATATATCAACAGTGCCGGGTAAAATAATTTTAAGTCATCTAAAATTATTGGCGAAAAGACTGAGAGAAGACAGGATTGAGTCTCATGACGATAATACCAGGTCAAACGAACAAATCCTTTATTAATGTTTCTTGATATCTTTCATTTCTCGTTTTTTCTTATTGTGTAATTACTTCTAGCAAAATGAAGTCTAATTCTTTCGCGAAGTAAGGGCGTCTCTCTCCCGAGGTGTCGAGCTTGGGGATACTTACAAGGTGAATATCTTCTGCCACGAGGGCGTCAGCGTTTTGTACTCGGTCTGCGTTTGGAGGCGGGCGTTGACCAACTCGAGGACGCAGAACGGATCCGATTTCCCGCCGAGGTCGGCCGCGGCCAGGCCTTGCGCCTTGTACACCCGCACCGTCAGGTGCCCCACGTCTTTCAGGTTGTGGAAAGTCCTCTGCAACGCCTGTTCTCGTCCGCGGACAGTTGCGAACGATAGAGAGCACAGAGAAAAATTAGAAAGCCCCACTGAATTTACGGAGCTCAACATGGAACATTATTATGGCAACATTATTAAGGAAACATATTATGGAACATTATTATTATTATGGCTCATTATGGAACATTATTTTTAGAGCGATAGATTTGGACCTTCGGAAAAAACTTGACGTAAGCTCAAAGTGAGATTCCTCTGCAACGCCTGTTGGCGTCCGTTTTAACCGAAGTTGTGAAGTACAACTATCGAACAACCTATCAAAGTACACTGGAAAAAAAACACATTGGATCTTGAGTCCGGACTCTTGAAAACATTGACAATAAAAAGTACTCTTGATTCAATCAGATTTAAGCTTAAATCAAAAGGAAATCCGTTCAAATTAAGAGGCTTGGGTCTTGATAAAAGCTTAAATTGGATTGAATCAAGAGTATTTTTTCTTGGCGAAGTTTTTAAGAGTCTGGACCCTAGATCCAATGTGTTTTTTTTCCAGTGTACCTTAAAATACCAAAAAATCAAACCTCTTTTGTCACATGATTGTACTTTATTTATACACTTTTCCCCAAGATATGCACAATATACTTTTTCTATTTCTTACGATGTAAATATATGACGTGTACCTAGCCTTAGAAAGGCTCCTTGTGAAGTACAACTATTGAACAACCTATCAAAAACCCCTACCAGAAAATCAAACCTCTTTTGTCACATGATTGTACTTTATTTATACACTTTTTCCCAAGTTATGCACAATATTCTTATTCTATTTTTTACAATGTAAATATATAACGTATGCCTAGCCTTTAAAAGGTTCCTGTATGAATGAACACCATTTCAATTTCAATTTCAGGTAGAGACGTGTGACCCGAAAATCACTTCGGCAATTACGCATCAAGTTTCTGGATTCCCCATCCGAAAACTCCAGCGATTCATACTATGATCTGAACTTTGGGTCTCATGGACGAAACCTTTCTCCCTGATCATCATAATCTCGATGGGGAGGGGCCTGTTTCAACCAGCTTCTCGACAATTTGACGTATTTCTGGACGCCGTCCAAAACTTCTGAGCGTTTAGATAGTATTTGTACTTAGTATTGTTTTCCAAGTTGGTCTTTTGTTTTCCTTATTTGATGGACCATCGATGTCTGGTTTTCCTACGTTTGGTAAACCGATGAAATAAATGATTCTGATTATTTTCAGATATCCGATCGCCACCGTACAAAGATTGCCCTTCGGCTGCATAGAAGGGACGTTACGGGATATCCTTCGGGAAAGAAGGCCACTGGTTCCGCGAAATTTTGAAGAGCTCGATATGAGCCTGGTTCAAAATGGACTGACCGTCGACAATCGGCCATTTTACCGAGAGGTAAGTGTATTTTCTACCGATGCTCTAAAGTCAGAAAAGAAGTGAGGAAGAACTTTGTATGCTTTCGAAAGCTTGCATGAATCATTCTTCTGTGAATGATGATCGTTCAGGAGGATTGAGGATTTATTTTTTCCATTCTCCCATACCGACAACGGGGTTTGAGATCAGGGAGAAAAGTTCGCATTCGATTTTCAAAAATGCGTCCATTGATAAAGACCATTGATGTTGTGATTGTTGTCCATTGATGTTTGTCCTAAGGAGCAAGTTGTTACGACATTATAACGACTTCATGAACGGGACAGGTTGAAATCATTGTCGTTATTTATATATTTATTCTTGTTTTTGTTTAGAAAGTTTGACGCACCTGTAAAAGCCATGTGCACAAAACAACAAATGAAGCTATATATTATTATTATTACTTCCATGCAGCGGAAACATTAACCCCTCGCGATATCAGTCACCGCTTGCCACCATGGACTTCAGAATTCTGCAGAGAAAACATACCTCTCCGGAAATACAATTTTCTTCCGACCATCCATAACTCCTTTTCCTGAGGAAAAATCGTTTCCTTCTCGGAAGAAGTTGCCGCTGGATGAAATTGCTTTGTTTTTAAGATTATCAACCTGTCCTTAGGAGGAAAGGCGCATCTGTGAGCGAGGAAGTTATCGTCTTTGACAGATTACCCTCAAGCCCACGAAGCCGTAAGTCGATCGACATCCCCGTCAATCGATCAACAAACCCAGGAATCGATAGACAACCCCATGAATCGATCGACAAGCCTATGAACTGATCGACAAACTGATGCCGTAAATCTAATCGAATCGGGGTAGCTCAGATCACGTTTGATTCTTCGATGGATTCATGTCGATCGAATCCAAACCCCCGATCCCACAAAGCCGTGAGTCGATCGACAAACCCGTGAATCTATCGACAAACCCGTGAACTTATCGATAAACTGATGCCGTGAGTAGATTGAACTTGAAACTTTGAATTCTTTATTTGTTGCAGACAATATCCCGCATAATAGATTGGGCCAAGAGGAATCTGGAGCCGCCCACAACATTCTACTACTTAGCAAACAACTCCTCTAAATGGCACCCAAAGATTTTTGCTCCCCTCGTGGAAGGAACGGGTATTAGAATCGTTCGCCATATGATATCCCAAAAGAGTGGCCTGTACACCGCTGTAGATCCAGGATTCCCAATCCGACACGGCAAGGGGAACGTGGCGGGGAGAATGCAGCCGCATCAGTGTGGCTCAGTTGACGTTTGTATTTTTCATAAACGTGTGCCTGATGCACGCCTCAGCTTGAAAAATATACTTATTTGATAGTTAGTGCTTGTATTTTATATTTTACGCATTGTTTGTTTCATGCTTGTATATAATTCTGCACCCGGAAGATGACCGAGTGGGGTCGAAAAGCTTCGGCAATGTGTTAACGCACTTAATAAACTAATCACAGCTAATGGCTATTCTTCTCCTTTATTCATTATTTATTGCGGTTATCCGCACGATGTTTATTTTGTATATTTCGATTAAGTCATGTCGATCGAATCTATGCCCCCAATGCCCCAAACCCAGAATCGATAGGCAAGCCCGTGAATCGATCGACAACCCAAAACAGACCCTAAACATTGATAAACGCAAAATACAAAAAAATAAAGAGATAAATAAAATTACAGTAACCGTTTTTGTATTATAAACATAAAATTGATGAACTCTTTAGTTTATAAAAAAACACATAAATATATAAACAAGTAGGAGACGAAGACACCAAAATTCAGCAACCCTCAATGATGATGGAACACACGTGAACTGATCGACAAACTCGTGCTGTCAATCGATGGAATCGGTGTGGCTCGGTTCAAGTTTTTATTTTTCTATCGATTCATGCCGATCGAATCTATGCCCCCAATCCCCAGGAATCGAGCGACAAACTCGTGCTGAGAATCGATTGAATCGGTGTCGCTCAGTTTACGTTTGTATCATTCGATAGAATCTATGCCCCCAACCCCGCAAACCCAGGAATCGATAGACAACCCCGTAAATCGATGGAATCGGTATAGCTCGGTTCACGTTTGTATTCTTCGATCGATTCATACCGATCGAATCCATACCATCAATCCAACGAAAACTGCAGTCGATAGACAACCCCATGAATCGATCGAAAAGCCCGTGAACTGATCGACAAACCTACGACATGAATCGATTGAATTGGTGTGGCTCAGTTTACGTTTGTATTTTTCGATTGAGTCATGTCGATCGAATCTACCTATGCCCAACCCAAGAATCGACAGGCAACCCCGAGCATCGATCAACAAACTCGTGCCGTGAATCGATTCAACCGGTGTAGCTCGATTCGCGTTTGTATTATTCGATCGATTAACTGAGAAAAAAGAGGTAGGGGATAAGTCCCAAACGTTGGATGAAATGGACATTTCCAAGTACTTGTGGTAATACCCTGGTTAATTGTGGTGGTACCCCAATAAATTAGGTTACTAACCCAAAAGTTGCGGTACTACCCCAACTTTAGTTGCGAAACTACCAATATTAATTAGAAATGTCCATATCATCCAACAAATTGGGGTAGTACCACAATTTTAGGGGATAACCCTTCACACTTTTTTCCGTGTTCATGTCGATCGAATCCATACCCTCATTCCCGGTTATAACGCGGCTTTGAGTGAAGGAAGTCGACTTACGTATCGTTCGAGGAGGACTTCTTTCTCCCTGGGGTTGACCTCGTAGGTGGTCAAGTCGGAGATGGTCTCCGACGCCGTCGTCCCGCTGATGGTGAGCAGGAGCTGGATGGACCCGGCGCCATCTTCCAGGTCTTTCTTGATTTTGTGCGTTTTCTCCCGCTCGAGTTGGCTGAGGTCGATCGAACACCTGAACACGGCAACCATCAGGAGAAATATGATTCATCATTCGTCGAACCATGGGCATCAGTGGCGTGGCGTATTTTCGATACATCGATTGATCTGCCATTTGGACCGTGTTACAGAGACAGGGACCAAGCCACATCATACATACATTCGAGTCGCTTTACAGCGCGCCCGGGCGCTCTGCGACACCGAATCGCCATCCTTGTCCATCGATCCAGAGGTGGCATCTTGTGATTTCATCTTGAATGCCACCAATCCACGATTTTGCTACCACATCAACTACTGCCAAATTTAACAGGGAAATTACAGTTTTAACGAGAGAACGTCTATGCAGATTCCTTTGAAAATTTTAAGGAATTTGGTTTGTATTGTGGAGAGAATTCACCGAAATTTGCAAAAGAAAATCCGCACAACCGATTCCATGTAAAAACTTAAATTTCTCGATCAAATTTGGCAAGAGCTGATGTGGCTTGGTTCATTCCTGTTGAACGCAGTCCATTTAAATCCGTGGAAAAGGATCGATAGGCAAGGTGTTCGCACCGAACACAATATTCATCGATTCCTTATCATAGTTTTAAGTGGGGAAAAATCGATGATCGATCTTTCACGCCTCGCCACTGATGGGCATCCCATGGGGATAAATATCGATAACAAACCGCAGCTGGAACTTCAGCTTCAGCAGCAGAGACTAAGTATCATGATGAAAAACACGGTACACAAGCGCGACTAAACGATAAAATTCAATGGAACAAACAATACATTGCTATACATTAAACGAGTGCGCAAGTATAACAAGGTTAAAATCAAAATACGTTAAAAAAATTTAGTCTGATCCGGCAGAATAAATGGGTATCCCAATTTGCCGGGCAGAATAATGTTGTTTTTTCTTTTACGCCTTTCGTTTTGAGATATATATCTTATCTTAACAACCATAATCATCCTATTAATTCTAACTATTTGCTTCAGTAGCAGCTTCATTTTGTCAAACTGTAATAGTGAGGTTACTAAGATAACTTGAGAGTTATACCACCACACCCTCACTACATTTATCCTCTACAAAATTTCACATGGAACAAAGAGGAATAAATAAAATTATCCGCAAGTCCAAAAATGCTTCTTCTCCAGTTTGTCATAGCATTACGGCAAACAGTACCGGTGAGGTAAATTTTGTGAAGGCATCTAAACAGATGCTATCAGATGCTGATGCAATTTTAAAGCAAAAAAACAAAAAAAATCTTGAGGTGAACTGTTTACCCTCCTCTATCTTCAAAGTTGACACATAGGGCTTTATCACTTAAGTTATTAATTTTTTCTTCACACATTGCAGGCGTGTCGTCAATATTAGGTCATCCACCTATATGGAAATCCAACCATCAAAGTTTGATTTTAAGGCTTGCGAAAACCTCGAGGGTTCGTTGGACGGAAAATCACTTACTTACTTTCCTATGAAATCATCTTTGGAGCGGTCTTTGTCCCAAACGGTGACTTCAAGTTCTTGAGATTGGTCGTCGTAGAGGTGCAAATCGAACTGCTCCAACCACGTTGGGTTCAATGATTTGTAGATGACTTTGCTTTTGTACTTTTCCTGCCCGAGCCTGGAAAAATAAATTGCGAGTTGTTACACGATATCCGTTCTGGTCGCGGATACGTGACGGGCAGAAGCTGAACTGCGGGCCGATTATTGAAATTTATAGACAAAGCTATAAACAAAGAAGACATAAGAAGTATAGGGCGATCCTATTGGTTGAAATGGGTGGTTCTTATAGACTAAGGGGGTAAATGATGGACTAACTGTCGGGTCTCTCGTGGGTTGCCGTTAGTTAGTTTAGTTAGTCTATTTCTTACCTCCTTTGTCCATTGCAACCACCCGCTTCCACCAATAGGATCCCTCCATATCCTTTTTGTCTTCTCTATGTCTATTGCTTTGTCTATCTATTTCAATAATCAGCTCGCTGAGGTTTATTACGACAAGCCAATGGTTTCCAGAAAGAAGAGTTAGGGGGGAAGGGGGGCTGAATGGGAAATTCGTGTTTTCATAAAAAAAAACGCAATTAAAGTTTTCACTCTGATGCCATTTTTTCCTGGGCTAAAGATGCAGGTCTGACTGTAACCAACACGGAGAAAAAAAACACGGTTCTTCGACGATTACCACGGTAATAAGGTCACACGGGATTCCACGGTAGTGGAACCGTGGATTTTGGTAACAGTATTGATGAGCACAGTAGCATAACCATGCTCATAATAGTATGTCTGTGCCTACAGTAATATTACGGTGAACACGGTCATATCACCGTGCTCCGTGCTCATCGTTACAAAAATCAAAATCCACGGTTCTACTACCGAGGAATTCCGCGTGACATTACTACCGTTGTAACGGTAGGATAACTGAGTTTTGTTTCTTGGTGAAGTAAGTTATTCCGTATCCTTGAGATTAAGTCAATACCATTGAACAATGCTAAGGCATAGTCGTGCACGAGAAAAATCGGAAATACGAAAAGTCTACTGATGCCGTATGTCCCGAGAACTACCTCCACCATAGCCTTTTTTAATGTTTCACTCTTAGGCTGAAGTTGATTTTCTGGAGAACAACTTTCAGATCGTAATATGATGCTAACTGAGGTCTTTAAGGGAAAAATATCGAGAAAATTCAGAAAAGAAATTCAATGTTCAAATTATACATATTATTGAAGAGGTACGAAGTTAATCAAATTCAACGTTCTCTGGAAAAACGGCCTAAGTCGATTCAGGCCGTTTTCCCTCCATACACCTCAATGGTTTGCTGAAACAAACCTGTACATTGATATTTCAAAATGGGTCACTAAACCCTTAGTTTTTGATTAATATTGTGAGAGTACCAAGTCAGAAGATTGCGTGACGATATTTTCCTAAATTTTGAGGCCAAAATCCTGGACAAGATCGCTGTTAAAAATCTTACGGACTCGAAGAAATTTCAAACGCACCGGAATGACGGAAAAATGATGGATGATGTATTACGGCAGTCGAATCATTATCTCCTCTCAATTTTATCTGAAGTTCTTCAAAATAAAATGTATTTCGATGTAAGATTGTTGCTATATTGTTCACCACAGATAACTCGAATGAGATCCGATTCTTAGATTCTAAAGATATAACTTCCACTTTCGTATTTATATAAAGGCCGAAAGTATAATTGCTACGTTTTCCTTAGGGATAAAACCCTGAAGTTTTCGACTAATTATCAAGGGCTGTACAAAGTAATTCCAAGTGAAAGAAGAGTGAAAATTTACATGGATGCGGAATGGTTCATAGAAGACGGAATAACTGAAATTGGGGTCTCTTCTGAATAGCAGGATAATTTCGAATAATTCATCAGAAGTGTTATAAACCCGGGAGCGGAATTCTATTGGTCCACTTCCAGTAATTCAAGAAAAGCTTCAGTTTTTTTGGCTATATTGTGCAAAAGTTATACTTTAAACCACTGCATTTAAGAACCTTCAAGGAACTTGTAAAGTAGGTGTGTAGCCGAAGTGCTAAAAAAATGGGCTAGTATATGTTAGAGCACAGTGGCGAGGAGCATATTATCGATGATTCTCCATTTGAATTAAGCTACGAAAAAGAATCGATTATTAAGGCGTTCGTTGCGAACACCTTGGTTATCGATCCTCTTCAATAGGTTTAAATGGCAGATCAATTGATATATCGCAAAGCACACCACGCCACTGTTGGATCAGCATGGGAGTAGCAGACCTGTCCTAGGAGTAGCTGCACTACGGCGTGAAAGGAAACAAGGACGCCACAAACTAAAACCCGTTTTCCGGGGGAAAGAGACGTCATCCTGGAGATCGACCGGGACCAAATCCCGGATTCAAACAGTGAAACTAGTTGGCTGCGAATTCAAGCCGGAACGAAGTTGCCGATAATTTGAAAATTCTTCGGCCTAATAAAACGGGACTTAGAATTCGTTAAAAATTTTCCGGAAAAGAGAAAAAAAAGTGGTGTTTCATAGACGTTTTGAACGATGCTGAGTAAGAAAACATCGCATAATTATTGAACGATTTTGGAGTTGGAATTTACGTTTTCTTTTAATTTTCTTTAGGACTTGGAAAAAATTCGCAAGAATTTTCGTCGAAAAAGATAATGTGAAGTGGTGTTTTTTAGATGTTTTGACCGTTATAAAATGTTTGGTCAAAGCTTTATACGGCAGTAAACATGGAAAAAATTCACAAGAATTTTCGTCGAAAAAGGAAAAAATATAGTGGTGTTTCTGAGACGTTTTGAACATTATAAAACGTTTGATCAAAGCTTTACGGCACATAACATAACCAAACATTGTTATCAAATGAAACAGTGCTGTGCAAGTTAAAACTTGCACATTTTTTAGCACTTTGGCTACACACTTACCAAATTAGTTCAATTAAGTGTTACTACCAATATGTAACAAATTAATAAATTCACGGCAGCTGAAACTTCTTGATCACGCGACCACGCTCGCGTGAAGGAGAGCTGCAGAACCTCCTTTGCGGTGGTAACTTTGTGAATCCGGTCATGTATTTCCCTCGATACATCTGACGAAAATCAATCTCACTTGCTTACCTGAATTTGACGTAAGGATCACTGTAGCCATCCAAGTCCATGGCGAGGAGGTTCTTGGCATCGATAAGGACGATCGTAACAACTGAGCTCCATATTTGACTCTTCAGTCTTCTGTTCATGTCGGATATCCGACTGTTTCGTTGGAAATACTGCAACAAAGAAACGAGGGCACCCACAGTTAGTCCTGCTGTCCGACGATTATATACACCAAAAGGATTCACGTTGTTTTACTTGCATACCCACGGCGCCTTCACAATTAAATTTATACATATACTTTGAAACGTCGATTTAATCGGCATGCAATAATTCAAGTAGGGTATTCCATTACTTAACGACCGCGAGGCGGCCACAGGTCACTGGCGTCCTCGTGATTATAAATTTTATTTTGCATCAAAGACGCAGTATTTTCCTCACGAACATACACATTTCAGCGATTACAGACTGAGGTTAAGATGCAATGTCTCCAAAAAGAAGCACTATTGTGACGAACCTAACTGAAGTATTTTCGAAGTGTTAGGTAGTAGAACTGTTCTACTTCAGCGCGTGCAAAGGAGCACGCGTCGACGCGACGGGAAGAGGAATCAAATTTTTTTTTAAGAAGAGTCAATAGCCTTCTCGCCAACTTCTTCAAACTTTCCTTTTCCGGTTTCTGGAACCGGGAAACACAAGTCAGGCCTACGGCCACTCATCATTGAAAGTTCAGAAAGCTTGAGTTCACGTATCCGCGGAAGCCCATCGGGGCAAATTGAATTACATTTTGACATAAGGAACCACTGCTTCTGGCCCACTTAAGAAACATCATACATGCCATTGGTTTCTCCATGCAGATATGTGCTTTTATAAGAGGGCCAGTGATAGTGGTTCTTTATTATGAAAAATCCAATTATAGTTCTCATATTTCTTGGGATGTGGTAATGTATTGAGTTCATTCCGCTGCCCACTGGAGCAAAAAGTCTCTGGGGTTCAGCATCGCGCATGGCGCACGACCTGCCTTTCGTTATTACACTTCATGTAGCGTTAAGAGTTCACGTATTACTTCACACGACCAGTGTGTAATTTTAGCGGTCGAAAATTTAAAAAAAATAATAATAATAATTTTAAAAATAATGTACACGATTTACAAGTTTCTCTACCAGGGAACTTGCCGCAAGAAACTGTTCGCTACCCGGCCGCGTCGGGGCCTCCGCGGCGTACTGACGCCTACAAACCTAAAGGGCTACTTCACGCATTGCGCAATACTTGAGGTATCCCCTTAGGTTTGTAGGCGTCATCACGTATTGCGCAATGCTCGAAGTATCCCCTTAGGTTTGTAGGCGTCAGTGCGCGTTTCGAACTGGCAACACGCAGCACGTCGCGCCGCAGCGTGCCATAAACTTGCGCACAATTAATAGGTTAGGGTGTTAAAAGGTAGCCAATTTAACATCAAATTCGAAATTATGACATTTCCAGGTTTTCTCCTTCTCCCTGGAACTTCCCCGTATCCTCTGACTGTGGCAACCCTGAGGCTATCGGATACACAGGCAAGTGAGCCTGAATCAATCGTTGGTGGAGAGGGAGGGAAGGAATAGCAGGGAGAAAAGGGGAGGGAGGCGCTGAAAGGTCGTAAAAAGATTAAGAGACAGGGACAGGACGCGACGCTGGCCACGGTTGTCGAGGGTTTTTCATTAAGACCTTTCGACGAAGGACTCACCCGAGAGTTCAAAAGACACTTCGCAGAAAAAAAGCCCAAATGCAAGATTTCCTCGTGAGGAACAGTTTAAGTGAACCGGCCAAAACTCAGCATTCATTACCTGCTCAAGTCTAGAATGTAAATTAACACTAGAGGGAATAATGTTCTTATCATCTACTAGATTTTAAAGGTTTTTTTTTCCTATCACAGAAGTCTCGGTAACTAATTGCCACAAAATAAAAAGTCAAAATGTTTAGCACATGTATTTCCAGGTTCACTTAACATGTTGCCAGGACAATTGGACGTATTTCTGCCAAACGGAACTATGTGAATTATGACGTGAACCCTGTTACGCATATATTCTTAAGGGTCTCAGGGCTCATGTCTTAATGCACACAGTTCCGTTTGGCAGAAATACGTCTAATTATAGGAACAAAAGAGTCCAACTAGCATTCCAGCAGTTTCTGCCTGGTTTAAAAACGTAAGACTTGCTGAATGATACGCGAGGATACCCAGACGTATTAAAGCCTTTGGTAATTCCAGGTTGCCCGAACTTTTGTATCGATGAAAGAGTTCAAACCAGCCTTTCATCAGTTTCTTTCCAGTTCAAAAACGAACGGCGTACTGAATATTATGCGAGAGTACCCCGATGTATAACATGTACTTCATGTAAACATATATTATGTTTTTTTCAGAGAAAGTGGAGAAGGTGGATTATGACCGATGAGCTTTGACTGTAATCAAGACGAGGACACTGAAAAAGACAGAGAAGACTCGGCAAGTACTCGTTCCTCGGCTCAATTATCCAAAAATCACAGTCCAAATCGACGACGATTTAATAGGAATATTCCTATACGATAAGAAATTAAGAAATATCACTTGTGGGAGGCATTTGAGCTCCATGATGCCGGAAAATGTATACGACCTCATCCGCCCAACGCTCGCCCACGCAGACCATGGATATGTTATTTGGGATGGGAAGCGATATTTTTCGAAACGTTTTCCAAAGCGCCTATCATTCCTTGATGCAAGTAGAGAAGATAATTTTTTATTTTATTTATGCGTCAGAGAAGCATCCTCTTCAATTTCACGATAGAAGAGAGATAACATGTTCGCTCCAATTGATAATTAGGAATAAGATCTTATGAATTCACCGATACCACCGTTATTCATATATGTTTTTTTTTAAATGTTGTTTTTTGTTGTGGGTTTCAATCGTACTAGTTTTGAATATATCATGAAGAAAGCATGCGCTCGGCAATACTGCGAATCTCGTTTAACTAATTTTTTACAGTAACAATCACACAAAAATCTGGGGCACCGCTCCACCCTCTGATATTAAAATTATTTAAACTTTACAAAAATTCCAGATTTGGCGATTACGTAGAGTCACCCTCTATGAGCGGAAGAAAGGTACCCACGGAGATCATGGCATGGAAGCGGTAGAGAATTGTGTAAAAAGAGAGCATGTCAAGATAGTGGAAAATGATAATGCTTCAGCATAAATTGTAAAGGACCTACAGCTAGATGTGTAAAAAGAGTGCATGTCAAGATTGTGGAAAATGATAATGCTTCAGCATAAATTGTAAAGGACCTATAGCTAGATGTATAAAAAGAGTGCATGTCAAGATTGTGGAAAATGATAATGCTTCAGCAGAAATTGTGAAAGACCTACAGGTAGATGTATATTTGTTTTGATCTCATGGAAGTAAGTTTACATATTGATCAATGATGTAATGTACTATCGACGAATTTAGTTTCGCGCAGTCTCTGGTGACTATTTAGCGACGGCGCGGCGCGTTGCCTGATGACGCTCTCATGAAGACGCACTCGTCCCTCTGTGAGTGCGTAGTCACTAACACAGACGCACATGAAACACACACGGACATTTTCGCTCATTCACCGAGAGAATTCACGTTTTTGGCTCTTTGGAATGTTCAGTTTTCAACATTTTTAGCTGTGGCGTTGCGTTGAGGGGATTGCACATAAAATAACAAAACTATTTTCTAATGAAAGCAGACCGTTTACGTTTTAACAAGCACAAGCAGTCAAGCACCCGTTCACAAGCAGTCAAGCACCCGTTCACAAGCGCAAGTTCAGTGGGAGTTAAGATTTTCCAAAGTTGACGCGGTACGCTGAGACCTGGGATGTTTGGAGTCACTAGACCACCTAAACTGACCGCTAATCGCGAGGTTTTGCATTTTTATTGGTCAATAGGGGTCATTGTGGTTATTGGTCAGTCTGAATCACTCAAGTAGGGGAGGAAGAGAGAGAAAGATATGTGTTGAGCTCTTTCTCGTAAAACTCTTTGTCACTCTTTGGGTTTTAACCATCGGTATTTTACTTCTTCTTTAGCAAGAAGGAAACAAATGCTTCACATCGACTGAATTCATGTTGAAATCATATGTGAGAAAAATTGACCACAGTTTACGAGATCACTGATTTCTCAATTAAGTTTTTTCACAAGTGTCTCTGGACAAACCTTAATCCTAACGACGAGAAAAGGTGTTCTATTTCGCAGTAAATTTGAAAATGTGTATACGGGTTCACGCAATTTATGTGTTTTGGAGTAGTACTTTGTACGATACTACTTATCTTACCAAACGTTCTGAATACCTACGAGGAACTTATAATTAATTAGATAATGACAAATTATCTGCTCTTTCTGCAACCCCCTCCCCCCTAAAAAAGTGAAAGCAAAAGTCAAAATCAAGTTTCTTATAAGAGTTTAGAAAATTCCATAATCATAGAATCAAATCTATTTTCAATTCTCATATTCTTTACTCTTTTAACGTAATACTTTAAAATCAGCTCTACACGGAGCAATTAATACCTCGTACTTTACATAATTGTCTCAACATAATTATGCACTGAATCGCCTAATTATTGTTATGTAACATTTCTTTATAAACCTAACCTAACCTAACTCAGGCACGTGATCCGCCAGTTTTTTGAATCGCTCCCCGCCGAGAAGCGGAAAGAATTCACGATCGGTGGAAAACCGATTAAAGACTTCTCTGTCTACTGTAGCGGGACACAGCAATTTCGTTTAGTGCTTAATACAAAATATGTAAGCCCCGACCCGACAACCCTTATAAGACCTTGCCGCCCTCTAAGACCTGAGATACCCGCGACTGAGGAATCGTTCAAAAAGTGGTTAGTGAAGGTCCTCCCGGATGAAGCACATTCTCATCCGGAAATCGGTGGTTCCCCGTCGAAGTCGATTAGCCCAAGGAAAGTAAGCAGATATCGTCCGGCTTCTGTTGTCAGAAACCTGATGCGTGCTCTGCTCCCAGCCGAGATAACACAAAAATTGAGAAAGTCGTACTTATTATCTTACTTATTAAGTTTAAGTTTTTAATAAATCACATATATGTTAACATTTGTTTAATAATTGTATTGGGTTTATTTATTTTAGATTCTCCACTCAATGGGAACCTGTTAACGACAACCACTCGGGACGGAAGAACCTTCAGAGTA